GAGGATGTTTTATTTTGGAATTTGAATAGCTTGAATAAAATTCCGTGTAATCGTAGAATGTCATCATATAATCATCGTTTTTGAAGTCATGCTGTATTCTTTCGTTGGGCCAGTATTCTCCATTTAACGATAACCTTATACTTGAAACATTAGCATCATCAAAGCATATAGCATTAGCCTTTACGTTACTTCTCTTATCCGTTTGAAAACATACAATTACAAAACGGGGTCGTTCTACAGATGCACTAGTCTTGACAGACCAAATTTCTCTTTTAGCACCAGAAGTAATCGCTGGTAGTTCATTTAACTCCCACTTACGAAATGGTATCAATATAGATCGATCCTTTTTTATAGACTCCATCAATTCTATTTTAATTTCATCGTAAGGATCGTATAGTACTTACTATACCGGTATCACGAACTACTTCTATTTCTTTAGAACTTTCACTGTATGAGCAAGAATCAAAGAGAAATGCTCCAAAATTGGGTGCTAGGGAAACATCTCCCCCACCATTAACATCTAATTTTCCTTTAATGCATATTAACGCGTCACTCATAAGGAAAAATGAATCAACTTGTTTTATAATAATTTCCACCGCATCATTGTTATTAAATGATTTGATAAATGGCGTATAAATTCGAGACTCTACTTTTCTAAAAGATTCATCAAATTGTGGTTTAGTGCCAAACATTTGAAACATAGGATCGATCCTTGATTTTTTATGCACGCGCTCATCTATGTCGTCCAAGGAGCGAATATATTTGCGTTCTGTCATTTTTCAATTTGAATCCTAGAGATTTAAGAAATAATCTATTTGCAGGTGTTAGCTCGCTTCGTTTGGCAGTGCGATGTGTTACTGATGAAACTGCGTGCGAAGATGGGCTTTTATATTCTATCACTAAACCCATTTAGTATTCTTTTAATTCTAAATGAATAGTACTTTTTTCACCTCGAAAATTTACCGGTCTACGATCTTGGTCGAGTACTTCCACTGTGATATTAGTTATTTCTCTTATACTACTTACAGGTAAAAAAATAGGTGTATTCGGTCTCTCAATGATTGCGTAACCAGGATCAACAGTTATCGGGAACTCGAGGATAGTGTGAGCAGGATTATTTCCAAAGAAAGCTCCTCTAGTAATGTTACAATCAAAGTGTAAGCTTGTTACTTTTATAATATTTACGGGAAGATCGGAAAAATGAATCTTATTAGGATCAAGTAGTTTCTTAGAAAATCCCAATATATTACCAATGTTATTATCCTTTTCAAAATTAATTGTATGATTTCGACTATAAATTTCACACTTGAGTGTATTGTTGTTAGGTTTTAAAGTGAAATCTGTATCGTCGGTGCTATTAAGCTGTTTCTTTATGTATATTTCAATATCCGATAGTTCATAACACCCGGTAGGAAAAGTAATTTCTCTCAAAATACTCGTATTATTTTTTTCGTAGTAATAAAACTTTTCTCCTACGACGTTTGGAATTGAATTATAGGAATGAAAGCCTAATACAGCTAAAAAATAATTTTTTTCTGGATTTAATAAAATTGGAGTTGTAGGAGTGAAGCAGAATTCATTAGTCTCACTTGAAAGGGTTAAAAGCTGCGACATGACTGATATATTTTTGAAGGTGTAAGGTCTTAAATAAAACAAAATTTTCAATTTTAACATATTTATTAAAAACATTAATTATACAAAAATTTTAAACACAGATGTCCACAGTTTATTTGATTATAATTTTGATATTGATCATTGTTATAATATATTTTAAAATTATTCATATATTTTACTAATTCTTTCGGTGGTTTTAGATTACCAAATGAATCGAAATATTCAACATTATTATTCTTTTTTCTATACGCTACCCAATGTGTACCTTTATTTTTAGATGTATCTAGATTCAAGATTGCGGATTCGTGCTGATGAGGACCCGTCTTTGGTAAATTATCTCGCATAAAAACACCTCTGAAATGAGGTATTTTTAAGCGTTTAGCGTACGTTATTAACTCCCTATCATATAAAGGTCTATTGGGTAGCTTTAATGGAAATTTTTTTGTTTTTTTAAATATAAACCGAATCCACCTTTGGAAAATTTCTTCAGATACAACCCTTTACCTATTGATTCCATTGCTTTGTTGTTACGATAATCTTCCTGTAATTTCTTTTGAGCATTCTTTGCACCTATTACAGTCCTAGCAATAGCGCTGGCGCCTCCTACGAGACTCCCCAGGGCTCCTAGGGCTCCTAGGATTGGTAAAAGGGGTAAAAAACCACCTGATTTTGCTTCAAATGGAATTATTCGAGGAATCTTAACATGCTTTTTGCCACCTATTTTTTTAATTGCAAGTCTCGCAGCTTTCAATGCATGTGTTGCGGATTTTTTTAAATCTGATGATGGATTTTTTTTTAACGATTTTGCAACGTTTTTGATAATATCCCGTTTAAAGGAACAACCCATACCAAGCTTTCTTTTCACCTTCATACCGTTTGTGACAATTAAAGCTGCTGACTCCTCACCAAATTTTGCGTCTTTTGATTTATAGCGTGTCCACGCAATGTCCTCTAATACTCTATCTGCTTTATGACGCTCCTCTAAGGATTTATACTGATCATACGCAATATCGTGTTCTTTGCATGCGGCGTCTAATGGATTAATACCAGAATCTCCGCGTGCAATACGCTTTTGTAGTTTTGTACCTGGCCCACAAAATTCGTAACCAGGTAGATGTAATTCAAAAGGTAGTTTGTTTATGAGAGTATTTAAAACTCCTTCTCCCTGAAATATCAACATCACAATGATAGTTTATCATATAGCTAATTTTATTTATAATGATCATCATTTTAAAAAAAGTATTACAAGATGAATGTTGTCCAACAAGAACAGACATTACCAATCGATAACTTTGATTTTGAATCCGCAAAAAACGTTCATGGAAAACATGGGAAACTCCTACCGGATTCCTTTCGTGCTATTATATGTGGTCCTAGCGGATGTGGTAAGACTAATGTAATGCTAGCACTTCTCTTCGACTTAAATGGCGCTAAGTTTAAAAATGTTTATGTATATTCAAAATCTCTCTATCAACCTAAATATCAGTTACTTCAAGAGGTTTTAAGTAACGTAAAAGGAGTTGGATATTTTCCATATAAAGATAATGATGATATTATTAGTCCTCATGAAGCCAAAACTAATTCAATTTTTATATTTGATGATGTCGCATGCGACAAACAAAATAAAATTAAGGAATATTATTCTATGGGTAGACATAAAAATATTGATGTGATCTACCTATGTCAGACATATTCAAGAACTCCGAAACAATTAGTCCGAGACAACTGCAATATAATTATGCTATTTAAAATGGATGAAATCAATTTAAAACACGTATTTGATGAACATGTATCGCCAGATATGAGTTTTGATGATTTCAAAAAGATTTGTTCGCAGTGTTGGACTGACAGGTACGGTACTTTTGTGATTGTAAAAGATTTTGCACTGAATTGTGGCAGATATCGCAAAGGATTCGATAAGTATATAAAAATGTAGAAACATTATATTTAATATCATTTTTAATCAAGATGTCCGATAATCGTAAAAGAAAAATTGCTGAATTGTCTCGAACGATTAGAAAGAAATACTTAGCTTTAAAACTAGGTAGATCTGAGTTGGATGAAACTTTAATACATTATTCAAACCTATATCTGAACCACTTCAGCATATTGCAAAGTCATCAAAATCATTATCTCAACATGATAATGTTGACAAAATTATTAATAAAGATGAACCAGTTGAAATTAAAAAAGAATCATTAGACAATTATAATGATAATTATAATGATAACTATAATGATAATTATAATGATAATAATTATAATGATAATAATTATAATGATTATCAAGGTATTACTGAAAAATCAGGAAATGTGTACATAGATCAATATCCTGCAATATCTATTCCATTCATAAACGAATACATGAATAAAAGTAGTAAAATAAACAAAAAATATGGACCCACTTATAATGAGACGTTATCAAAGTGGTTGCTTGGTGGTAAAATAATAAACTTTGATAAAAGAACCGGTCTTATTGAAACAGAGGGAAAACAGATTATTGGTACACCGGGACTATTTCAATTAATATTTTACAATAAACCCATAGGTTACAATAATGATGATTTAAAAAATAATAAATCTGTTTTAGAAACAACTAATGTTCACAGAGATACTCGAGGACGATTGGCACATAGCTCAAAATATAAATATACCAAGATTATAAAACCAATGTTCTCACGTCAACGTAATGTTGCAGGTACCGGTATGTCTATGAAATATAATAATTATCCTGTGAAGTATGTTTATTGGGACTCATCCAATGAACTTGTAGATCGTTTAAAACTTTTGGTAGCCTCTCAATCTGCCGGAAATAATTCCCATGACAATGAAATAGTTGCTATAATAAATGAACTCAGGGAAGCTAATATAATATATTAGGGTAACACAAGATTTTTTTATCATTTGCAGTATGAGTCTCAATAAATTCGGTGGTAGGTCAATAGGTGCGCGTAGGTCGTTAATTCCTCAATTTGAAGTTACATCGGATGGTAACATAAGCGTTGAAAATATTAAAATTAGTAATTTAAAAGAACCTACCGACGCTACTGACGCTTCTAATAAATTATATGTTGATAAGCAAGTACAAATAATAAAAGAAAAAATTGATAGTTTTCAAAAGGAACTCGGTGATTATCTTTTAGAACAGTTTACTCTTTTACACGATAAAACTCAAAAAGTTACTTACGCTTTAGAATATTTAAATGATAAATTAGTTGATTTAGAAAAAGCAATACATAATAAAATAATATAATATTTATTATCATTTACATGATGAGCTTAAATAAATTTGGTCATAGATCAGGGATATATAATCCTACAGTTCCTAAGCTCACATATGAATTTGTTCACACTACTGACGGTAACATAAATATTGAAAATGTAAAAATGTGTAACCTAAAAGAGCCTACTATTGATACAGATGCTTCGAACAAAGGTTATGTTGATATGCAAGATCAAAAATTAAGTGAACACATATCAACATTGACTACTAGAATAGAAGATCTAAGAGATGTAATTCAAAATTTACAACAAGTGAATATTTTGAATGATACAAAAATAAATAGGTTCCTCCAAAATCAAGAAGATCGTTTAAAATTACAGGATATAAGAATAGGTGATTTATCTAAGGAATTATTTAAAGTGAAAAGTAGTATTAATTCAAATATTTAAGTTAAAATATTCTTTAGAAACTGTTAGTTGATTATGAGCTAATAAAGCAGCAAGATCATGAACTTAATATTTACTTTGTTATTCTTTGTTAGTAGTACAATATCCCAAAATATTATATATAATGAATCTGAAACGGTAAATTATTTAAAAAAGTATGGATATATCAAAGATTCATTTAACGCTTTAACTGACTTAAAATCTGCTTTAGTATCTTTTCAAGAACGATACAATTTAATTGTGGATGGTACTGTAAATAATGAAACCCTTCAGTTATTTAAAAAACCACGATGTCAGCATCCTGAAAACGAATTTAGAATCCACGGTAAATGGAAAGAAAGTAATCTAAAATGGTATTTTCCTAATACTATAAATGACAATGATAAATATAATGTATACTTATCAATAATAAGAAAAGTTTTTAAAATGTGGCAAGACGAATCAAATCTTAAATTTGAAATGGTGAACATATATCATCCTCTTCCTAACATTACCATATTTTTTGCAAAACAAAAGCATCAATATCGTCGAAATTGTCAAGGCATTGAAACTTGTCCATATAATTTTGATGGTCCTGGTAAAATACTTGGTCATAGTTTCTTTCCTTCTAAAGATTCATGCATTGAGATTCATTTAGATATGGAAGAAAATTGGTATGCAGGATTAAGTAAATCTCCCGAAGGATCAGTCAATTTACTTTCAGTTTTAGCCCATGAAGTAGGACATGCTTTAGGATTAGGACATAGTGATGTTAAATCTGCGACAATGTTTCCTTGGTATCAAGAAGAAGCTAGTGATTTATCGGAAGATGATAAAATGACGTTGGAATCTCTTTACGGTAGACGTAGAGGTATGCATTATATGCCTATACCAAAGAATTTTAAACCTATAATAAATATTCCAAAATCCATAAACAAGCTCAAACCTGCAACAAATACGTCATCTGATAATGAAAACGTAAGCAAGAAATATGTCGATAATCAAGTTAAAGTATTATCAACGGAATTTATGATTTTTAAGAGCAAAAATATTAATGAAAGAAATAGACACTTTAATTTTATGCAAAACCAAAGTCATTACTTATCATTTCTAAATGATAAAATTACCGAAGTCACGAATGTAGAACAAAATTTACAAAAATCAATAAGTTTAGTTTCCATTCAATTAAATAATATTATAAAAGATAATTCTGATTATATGCAAAACCAAAGTCATTATTTATCACTTCTAAACGATAGAATAACTGAAACCATAAATATGGGGCAAAATTTACAAAAATCAATAATTTTAGATTCTAAAAAAAATAAATACTATTATAAAAGAACATTCAGATCGTTTATCATTGCAGGACGAGAGAATTAGAGATATATCAAAAGATTTATTTACATTAAAAAATTGTACAATGCCTAAAAACTTTAATCCGCAACATGACCTCAAAGGAGAGAAAACAAGTAGTTAATGAAATACATGCTCCGGCACGTAAAAATTATCCTAGAAGACGTACAATTATTAAAGGTATTTTTGATCTCTGGCAAATGGATCTTGCTGAAATGAGACAATACAGTCAGCAAAATAAGGGCTATAAAATGATATTAGTCTGTATCGATTGTTTCTCAAAGTTTTTATGGACCCGTCCTCTTAAGTCTAAAACAGGGGATGATATTACAAAAAGATTCGCTGTGATTCTCGATGATGTTAAAAAAAGTCCTAAAAACCTTCAAACGGATCAAGGTACGGAATTTTTTAATAGAAAATTTCAAAATTTAATGAATAAATATAATATAAATCATTATAATACCTATAGCATTAAAAAAGCTGCAATTGCAGAAAGGGTTATAAGAACATTAAAATCAAAATTATATAAATACTTTAGTTTATATGGTACCTATAAATGGATAGATGTATTACCTCAATTTACCAAAGAATATAATGATAGTAAACATAGTAAAATTGGATATAAACCCTCAGAAGTTAATAAATCTAATGAAAAAAAAATTTTACTTCAAAGTTAGTCATTTGAAAATTGCCGGTTCACGAAAATTCAACGTTGGTGATATTGTTCGAATAAGTAAATCGAAACATATATTTGAAAAGGGATATACTCCAAATTGGACAACAGAATTATTTAAAATTATCACCGTGAAAATCACGAATCCGACTACTTATCTACTGGAAGATATGCAAGGTAGTCAAATAAAAGGAGCTTTTTATACTGAAGAATTACAAAAAGCAACTTATTCCGATGTTTATTTAGTTGAAAAGGTATTACGTCGAAAAGGCAATTTGATGTTCGTTAAATGGTTAGGTTTAGATAAAAAGCATAATAGTTGGATAAAAAATACTGATTTAATATAAAAAATATATGAGAACCATAATCAAATTTCTACACTGTTCCATTTTTAATAATTAATTTTTAATCTAATTATCACGTGAGTGGGAGTTTAGAAATATATATATATATATATATATATATATATATATATATATATTGTAATGAGGTATTGTGTGAGAAATATTTTGTGTTGATTGCTTTATTTTTGAATTTTCGTGACTCTCACTCAGGGCTTTTGTGGGTGTGTACGTGGTCGTAACTCGCTAATGTTTCTTTATTTATTTTATTGTTATTCAAAAGTTGTTTTCCCCCATATAATATATCAAAAAAAAATACTACGAAATTATTCTCCTTTTTTTTTATTGTTATTGTGGGCGCCACTGCTTAATCCACTCTTTTTGAATGATTAAACAGGAATGAAAATATCTTATTGTTTTTTTTTTTTGTAATAATACTAAATGTTTTATTATCTGTTTTTAATATTAAATGTTTTTTTTTTTTTACTCTGTATGAAATACCTCTTGTATTCCACGCCACTGTTTATATCTTATTTTTTTTTAAACCGTGATAAATAAAAATAATCGTTTTAACTTTTGATTAAATACCAAATGGCACCAATAGTTCCCCTGTATTTTTTTTAAAGGACAAAATAATAATAAAAACACCGCATATAATATGATTTTAATACATTTTATTTAATCTTGGTTTGGAAAATTATTAGGAATAAATTAATACGTTCGAAATTAAAAATAAACTAGTGGAGTACTCCGTCGGGCAAAATTAAAACTATATTGGAAAAAAGATTGCTAGCTGGAAAAATCTACTGCTTTTGCTAGTGTCGCTACTAAAACCTGGATGGCGACACGTTCTAATATGGTTAATAATTGTGAATAATTCCACGGGGCCGCGCTGGTGAGTACTTGATGTAGATTGTTCGCACTAGTGTCAAAATATCAAATAAAAATCAAAATTACAAGGAAAACAGAACAAGAATAAAAATTAGTAAGTAATAATTTATCTTAGCTCAATTGTATTTATTTTCAAATACCTGTGATTACTAGTATTGTTCGTGGATAGATTTGCGTTCACTAAAACGTCCTGTTTTGGGTTTCTTTTAGGTTAGGGACTGGAGATGAAAACACAGTATACCAGAATTCTGTCCTTTATACTGTGGAGAGTGTGGTGAAGATTTCAGAGTTCAAAATTTGAAGATTGACTCTAAACACGGAGTCCAGAAATAGCCATTGACTTGAAGACTTCACGTATGAATCTCGTTGCCAAGGAAACCATATTATGCTGGTTCGTTTTCTAAGGTATTTTTGAGCACTTTGGTTTGCACCGTTTTTTTTTTACTTTCGCACTAATTTCACTACTTTTCTTTGTTACTAACTATTAATTACATATTTCTTAGATTAGTGATAACACTTTTGTCTAGTTTTTATTATTATTTTGTGTTAAAATGATTAATTTTCAGGAGAGAAAAAATATGGGTCTTCCCCCTTTTTCGTCGTAACCGCTCTCCTTTGTTTTTTGTCAACAAAACTTTTCAAGAAAATAATTTCAAGTTGCCCAGAAATTTTTGTGGCCAATAGAAAGCGTTTGAATTTTGTAACTAAGAAAATTAAGGAAATTTAATTTTAAAAGGTGAGTTTATTAAAAATGAAACTGCTATTAATTTTAAAAATAATTTTGTAGTATTTTGATACTCGATTAATTTAATTATTGGTTGCCAAATTTTTATATTTTAAAAAAAACTTTAAGGGTATAAATTTAATTTGGCATATCTGTCAAATGATTTATTTTTCTAAGGTTGCATACACTTTTTGTTGTACAGGATGTTTTTTTTTTATCATTGATTTTAAAAAATTTTACTAATGATTAATAATTTTTTTTTAAATTTTATTTTAACTGATTAATTTTTAAATTTTGTGTCATGATACTTTCATAGCAATTTTCCCCTGAAATTTCGTTGCACATTTTCTTGCACGAAGAAATAAGAAAATTGCAACAAATTTTTACCAAATTCTTTTTAAAATTTAAATTTTTATTTACTATGTACAATTTAATTTTATTTCCTGTTTTAGGACTTCAAGCTTGGTGAAATTTATATAGCTGTTGGATGTTAAATATTCCTCGTGATTTTCCTGAGTCAAGGTGTCCCAATTCGTAGCTGTTCACGCCATTTCTCGTAAGAATTTTGTATGGTCCTTCAAATGGAAGCAAAAACTTTGCACAGATGTCATTCCGTTTATCTGGAACTCGTAAGGCCTTCAGGATTACTAGATCGCCATATTTAAAGGTAACTTTTCGTTTTTGCTTGCTTTCCTTTTTTCTTATATAGTTCTTTGCATGCTTTTCTAGCTTTATTTTAACTTTGTTTATTAGTTCATCGTAGTTAGCTTGGTTCTCACAATCCCAAGGTCTCTCAGGGTATTCACCTTTCATCAAAGTCAAAGGTGCCACTTCTGTTATTGTATTTGGTGTTCTATTCATGTATTCCTGTATCCTATTTAGATTTTGTTCCCATAAATTTTGTTCAGAGTGTATGAGAATCCTTAGTTGTTTGATTACTTCCTTAATTGCTCGTTCAGCTGGGTTTGAACATGGGTGTCTGATGCTAGTATATACGGGTTTTATGTCTGTTTTTCTTAACCATGTTTTCATATTCTCGTTATTGAAATAGGTCGCATTGTCCATTATGCAGTTGCTTGGTATTCCATTTTCTATAAAATATTTCGTTAAACATTCCTTAACCACCTTCTTATTCGTTTTCTTACATGGGTAAATATTTACAAATTTTGTAAAAACATCAGTGACTACAAAAATGTGTCTACTTCCTTCATTACTTGGAATGAGATTCGAAATGAAATCTACTGCTATAATTTCAAGTGGTCTATTAGCTATAATAGTTTTTGGCACATTTTCATTCAATTTATTTTTTTTCTTTAGCAAGTTGGCAAATTTTACATTTTCTTATTATGTCCTTAGTTGTGATTATATCATTTTTGCTTATATAGTTTTCTCTAAAGGTTAACATTGTTTTTCTAACACCCAAATGATTATATCTTTCATGTAAATCCGTTATAATCCTTTCAGCAAGATCCTTAGTAATTACAAACAGTTCATTATTTCCATTATCTAACTTTATGTACACATTGTTTTTCATTTTACACCTCTTTTTTTCTTTGTCTGTGAGATTTCGCTGATTATTTATGATTTCATCCATCGAATAGATTCCCTTACTGTCTTTTAGAATGTTGTATCCTATCTTTACTTTATTTCTATCAATTTCGGTTACTTTTCCATCCATCCTTGTTATCGCATCCGCTATGTTCTTCTTTCCTGGTGTAAATTTTACTTCAAACGTGTACTCCTGTAATAGAAGTGCCCATCTGTGTATTCTTGCGTTCTTATATTTGTTATCTATAATAGAAATTAGGGCCTGATTATCAGTTTCGATGGTGAATTTTCCTCCTAGTAAAAAAAAACGCAACTTCGTTACGCAGAATATTATACTCGCCAGCTCCAGTTCGCTGACTGCGTAGTTCTTCTCCGCCTTCTTCGTCAGACGTGATACGAACGCAATGGGTACCTCCTTTTCCTCTTGCTTCTGAATCAGTACACCAGCAAATCTGTGCATTGATGCATCGGTTTTTAAGATGAATTCCTTCGTATAGTCCGGATGGTATAGTCTCACTTGTTTTGCAAATTCTGACTTGATTTTATTGAAAGCATCTTCTTTCTCTTTATCCCATTTCCATCGCACGTTCTTTTTTAATAACGATATCAATGGTATCTCCATCTCTGATAAATTAGGAATCATTCGTTTAAAATAGTTCAATGTGCCGAGAAAACCCCTCAATGTTTTTAAATTTGTG